GTTGCATACTGGACCAAGAATCCAGGTGCACTTACCCCACACACAAACAGGTGCCTGAGTTACTGTAGAACCTGTTGATCCTGGATTGTCCTTGTCAGTCATCTTTAGACCCATAGATAAGGCAGTCATGGAAGATAGATAATCATCCTCAGTTGTGAGGGCCTGCCAATGATAATGAACATGTTGAACTAGGGGGAAGCTCTTTCTGTTATCTCTGCCTCCTGTGATTTCTCTTGCTAAAGTAGCTTAATTGTTTTTGGAAACCAAGGAGAAGTATAACAGTTTTGTTTTGGCAGAATGTTTTGTTCAAAATTTGAATGGACTGTAAATATATTTGAGCACATTTTCAGATTCCTAATTCTGATAGCTGGCAGTGTCTGAATTCAGAGATACTGTGGGCTGGATACTGGTAGCTTCCCTGATCTGTTTTAGAACAAATGGCAATTTGCTTTACTACAAATTAATGAGGTATTGTGTTAATTAAAAAGTTTGTACTTTGCAAAAAGTAACATGCTGTGTAAAAATGACATCATGAGATTCCACATTTGTCTTTCAATGACTTCCAGCACAAATGTGCTTTTTTTAATAGGCAAAACAGTGTTTTATTCTCGTGAGTTATACAGGCTTGCTCTGAAATCCAAATGTCTGGCTGTGTTCACACACAAATCTACAAAGGTTCTAAAGCTGAAACTTAACAATTCTTTTGATGATGGGTTCCAGTACGCACACTATCATAATCTGTGTTGTCTGGCTGTCCTACACTAGCATGAGTAAAATGTGTATGACAGTTAGCAACATTTGTAAGTAAGATTCTCAACACTTGCATGGAGCAGGTTTGTTGTATAAGGTGTCATTTTAATAAACTCAGTTTCAGGTTGTGTTTTTTTTTAATACATCTTCATTTCTGGGTATACCTGCACTTATGCATTTCCTGGTTTGAGGTGGGACTATTCCAACAAGTGCATATGTTGAAGTTTTGCATAGTGTTCTTCTGGTGGCATTTGTGGCCAACAATAAAGCAGGGAAATGATGGAAATATACAAAATCCATGTGTTGTGAGATTTCTGGAATAAAATAGCTATCTAACTTAGTGCATTCCACTTCCTTCTTTCCCATATTTCCACACCTCAGTACTACATGTAAGTTACTGCTGTTATAAAGTGACTTGACATGAAACAGCAATGATGAAGTCCTCTGTGGAGCTACAGACATCGGAGAAAACACACAAAGCAGTTCTGAAAACATGGGTGTAACGCCTGTCCCAGCTGTGCTGTGACACCTGTGAATCTGCAGAGCTCTGCAAGATCTGCAGGTGGAAATATCAGACTGTAAAGATTGCCCCTTTTGCTGTTGGCCTGTGGAAGTAAAGGATGGAACAGTAGGGAGTGTTGAAGAAGAGAGCAGAGGACCATAGAATCAGGGAAGTATGCTAAACATGCATCTTAATTTCAGGAAGCTCCATAGGCTCCTACTGGCTTCTTTTGAAGTATCTTGTCCATCCCCATCCCTCCCTACCCTGTCCCCCTAATCTGGCTACAAGCTGTGCCCCCTAAAACATTCAGGGTTCTGGGAATATTCAGATATATCTGCAATAAATGCAGAAAGATAAGTTCCTTGAGAGGGGGTTACAAAAGTTGATGGGAGAATTTATCCACCCCAAAATAAATGGGTTGACAAAATAGGTGACTAGCAAGGAGAGGACAAGAGCTCTCAAGGACTTGTCAATGTTAGTGGTGAGTAGAAGAAGCAGTATTGCCAGAAGTATGGGAAAGAAGGAGGAATGAGTTAGGGAGGGAATTTATGATGACTGATAAAAAAGACTAGGACATAAAAAGAGAAGGAGAGGTCTGTGTAATATAGGGGGCAAATTACATTTAGTGTTTGGGAGCATATGAACAATATTATGTCACCCAACACAAGTTTCCCATTACCACCAACTGATCTAGGTGGCTCACCATAAAGTCCAAGGATAGTTTAGTCTTCAGACAAACATACTTCTTGACCCCTCTCTTGAGATGTTCATTGTGGTTTCCAGTTGTGCTGTGGATTTTTGTCTCCGCTGGTAATTGGAGTGGGATTACTCTGCTCGATTTATGTAGGATGCAATTGGAAAAGTATACACAAGCATCTTGTGATTTCTGTCAGTTTGGATTGGGTTCAATTAATGATCTTTGAGTAGAAAGCTCCATACCTTTTTTCCAAAGCTTGTGCTATCCTGGCTGTCAGTTGTCTTCTTGCAAATTTGCTGAGTAGAATTGTCGTTTACAATGTCGACTTTGTTGCAGTTTCCAGATTCTTACAAGAATCAAACAAACCTCAGTCAAGTTTGATGCAAGCTCCTCAGCTCCCTCTGACACAGTCCAAATCTCTGTTCAGTTGCTGGCTCAACGCTTGGCATTTCTACAGTAAATAATGTTGCATTTTAGTTACTGTTTATGAAATGTTAAGGATTCCATGGTACGGTGAGGAGAAAGGATGCACATGGAAAAATATTTTTCTTGATGTGTGGACATGCCTTCAGAAGCATGGACCAATATGCTGTCCAAATAATTTAGTCTCTGGAAATTTTTAGAATTGGTCTCTAATTCATTAAAGATATTTCACTGAATTCTCCATCACTGGCTTGTCATACATAGTCTTCAACAATGGAATGTGAAACTGGAAAATGACTCGGATGCATGGCAACTTATGTGATGCTTTTTTATGTTGGTGTTACAAGTACATTTTGCTGCATTAGTGAATGCCAATGCTGACTGAAATTCCAACAGTTTCTTTCACAACCCATTTAATCTCAAAAACTGAGTGCCTATTTTTGTTGATGAAAGTGAAAAGGTTTATAGAATCAGTGTCAACTCATTGAAAAAATGATGGAATGACTCTAAAACTGAATGATGGGTTCCTTGTTTAATGCCATTTAATAACTATCAGATTCAATCAGGTGGCTAATTCTTTTTTTCTAACTGCTTGCCTAGTAAATCAAAATGAGTTATTTCTGATTCATATGCTGTCATCAGTAACAAGGAAACTTCAGTTAGAACTTAGTTAATAATTCAGTAGAACAGAATCCATCTCAGACTCCCAGAGCTTTGTAGGCTTTGGGGAGTTGACAGGAGTGCATTTTAATAAAAACATGTTTAATTATCCTATAGCTTATAGCACCACAGGTATACTTGGCAGTTATCAAAAAAATCAAATGAAAGATCCTTGCCTTAGGATCTTACAATTTATATTAGATAGAATAGAAGTAGGGAGGAGCATTAAAGGGAAAGGTAAATGATAGGTAGGTGAAGCATTAGAACAGAAAAATAATTAGACCATTAGAAAAGAGCATATAGCAGTGGGTTTCAGCCTGTGGTGAGCATAGAGCAGTGGGTTTCAGCCTGTGGTCTACAGACCCCTGGAGGTCTGCAGACTATGTGTAGGAGTACACAAAAGATGACTAAGGTCAATCAAAGGTATGTAAATGCCCACACTTATAGTTCAAAGGGGTCTGCACCTCCATTCAAATTTTTTTAGGGGTCTGCAAATGAAAAAAGGTTGAAAACCACTGGCAAAAAGCCACTTCACCTGAAGGTAGAGAAGAATTGAGTGAGTTATCAAAGCCAGAGCACAGATCCAAAAGAATAAGGATGAGAAGAAGCAGCTCTAGGAAAAAATTGACATTGATGAGAGCTGTCTTGAGCTGTTTAGAGTAAAAGCTATGGCACAGATTTCAGATGATCAGATTTGTCACTCAAGTCACAAATTATATGACTCATGCTACTCACATGGTATATCTCTTTAATAAAAGGTACTGTTTGTAAATCCAACTATTTAAGTTGGTCTAATAAAAGATATCAGATTCACCCAAAGAACCTTGTCTGTTTGTAAATCAGCACTTTTCTTATCATAGTAGACTTTTAGGGCTAATTCCTATTTCCCTTTAGGCCTCTAAAGGGGACATATACAGCTGTATAACTGCAGTTTTTGGTACCTAAATCCAATGTGTGATTGAGCTCTGGGTGCTGAAGTGTGAGTGCTTTAGTTGCAGAAGAATCATGACTAGCAGGTGTTTGGTATAAGAAGGAAAAGAAGGTCAAGCATTTAACTTCTTGGTTAGGGCACTTCCCTAGGGAGCAGGAGGCCCAGAGTCTAGGCTTGCCTCATCCGGACCAAATTTGAACCTGTATGTTTTGTTTTAATAGCACTTTATTGTTATTGTTCTTTTTTATTTTAAATACCTGTCACATGGAAGAATTCACTTTATGGAATTTAATACCAGTAAAAGTTAATGGCACATAGCGGGTATGTCTACATGTTGCCATATGGTGATGTTGTTACTGCACTGTGCTTTAGTACTTCCTTTTGGATGTAATAAAACACAGTGCAGTAACTGCCTGTACTGTGCCATAGGGACGGTACACACTTAAATTTCCCTGCTATGTCACCATAGTGGCATGCTATAAGCAGGGAGTGCACTGCTATGGCAACATAGCTACCAATCATGTAGACCTGCATGATAGCTATGTTGCTGTAGCACACCATACAGTGATGTAGCACGTCACTATGTTGCTGTAGGGCAACGTGTGGACATGTCCAGGAAGTACATATGCTCATATTCCTGGTATAATTCAAAATATTTTCCTTCATAATTTGTCTTAATTGGCTTTCTCTTGACCCAGAAGTTTTCCTTCTTAAGTCAAATATGCTCAGATCTGTTTGAGTATATACTGAAGATTTAGTTTCTAAAACTGTTCATGAGGTAACAGATCTTGAAAAATGGCCAATTTGAGAAGAAACAGTAAATAAAGTGGAATTTTCAGATTAATTTGGATTAATTGGATTAACTTAACTGATTTTTTTTTTTTTTTTTAGAATGATTTCTGAAACTCTTAACCTTGGACTATTTTAAATACCTTTTTAATGAGGTTTATTCAACTATGTGCTTGTCTAAGCAAAGTTCACTGGCTGAAAAAAAAATCTCTGTTGAAACTATATGTTCTTTTCTTTCTGACCTACAGCTCACTACAGCCACCTTGGATGGCAAACTCCAGTTGTTTCTGCCCTGACCGTTCGTGGAATATTGGCACTTGAGAATAATGGCTCACTGAGAACAAGATAATCAGTAACTGGTCAAACAGCACAATATTACTTTTTGAACTACATTTAAAAAAACCTGTTTCTGTAAATTCAAACTGTGTTCACAGGTTACTACTGTGTAGAAACAATCTGTCACTTTTATTGGAAAAGTAAAGCCAAAAGACCATGAGATACAAAAGCACCCATGCTGACCTCATACAACCAAGCACTATAACTTTAATGGACTGTTTGCATGCTTAAAATGTCATGTGCTATAATGCTTTGCCTAGGCTTTTCTTCTGCAGATTGGTGACACAATTAAAATAGCAGTTCTTCCACATTTTAAACAGGAAGTCTGCCTGTTACCCGTGACTTGAAATAGTCTCAAAGACAGGAGAGTTTCTCCTCATTCATTATATTGCAGCCATGCTGGAACAATCCATACCATTGCAACTCTAATGCAGTTACTGGAAGCAGCAGAATTTTGCCTTCATTTATTAAGAGCCAGTATGATTCACAGCCGTTTGTATTGCTGTACTCATTAAGTGCTTCTGTTATTTCTTAGAGAATCTGTAAAAAGGGCTTAATTTTGAAGGATTTGTCTTTGTTACAAAGTTAACTTGTTGCTTTGTTTTCATAATATACTTATGTTTAACTTTGTTGTGACACTAGACAGGTCCCTTTTGCTACTCTTTAGGGAAAAAAAAAAGGAAAGAAGGAGATTTGTTTAGTTGTTCAAATAGTGATTAGGTTTTTTTCTGTAGAAAAGTGCTGATTCTTTTTGTACCATTCCTAGCTATGCCGCTTTACATGCCCTAATCTTTGAAAAGTATGCTAAATGCTGTTTTGAATAATAAACTGGTGTTCCAATTATTCATTGTCTCTGACTCTTCAAGGCTGGGCAACATATGCGTGGTTCAACTTCTTATGAATTATGCTGCCAAACCAACCGAATTTAACAGGACCAAGGATCACAAATGTTGTATAATAATCCTCTAGTCTAGTCAGCTCACTTGTGCCTGGATGACTTATTACACACAACTGAATTTACTTCTCATGCCATTTACTCCCTTTTTAAAAAAAAAACCCATGAGAGATAAATATGGGATTCCTACCCTAACTGAACAAATTAATAGACAGCAGTGTTGCAGTGATCTTTTCAATACTGTTATAGAGATTATAACAAGGTGGGGGTTCCAGGGGTGGCCATGATGCCCCTGGCAGGCTCTGTGACTATGCCCTTCTCTGCCCCTAGGGCACCTTCTTGTCTCGTCTGCCACACCTTGATGCAATAATGCTAGATAGGAAGGCTGCCCCCAGACCTTTGCATAGCCCTGGTTCCACTGAACCCCCACTAGAGGCCCAGCGATAGGCCTAGGACTGCAGAGGCCCAGCAAGGAGCTTAGGATCAGTGAGGACTAGTAGGGTGCTAGGAACATCCAGGGTGGCCCTCTGTGCCCCTGCCAGCCAGGGCTGCTCTGACCTGGCTGAACATGTTATGGTCCCAGGAGCATGTGCAAATGGCACGCCCAGAGCAATAAACTCTGGTTTGATAAGCACCAGAGTTTATTCCATTGCATTAATATGCATGTGTAGACACACCCATGGTCAGAATAGGTAAGGTATCTATTAACTCTTTGGGTTCTACTAACAAAAAGTAGTCTACTACTATGGAATTCTGCTGATACTTAAAAGCTAATTCACTTAAACATAGCCTGCAAGTTGTGCCTTCGTTACCGTCTTCAGCACCAGGATTTATCTGCCTGGAGTGTAAAGAGTCACATTAACATGGGGTTAGCTGTAGGGCTAAACCAGAGAAAAAATAAGTGTTTTCTCTGTCTCAGATCCTTCGGTAAATTTTATAAGCATATTCTGAAACTTGTACTTAAGTCAGTGGCAAATTCCTGATTTTAATGGGTGCATGATCAGCTGCATAATAAGTATAGCATGAATAGTGGCCATGTGAGTTTTCCCACAGAGTGCCCTGTATTGTGACACTATATGGAAAGGACCTCCATCTGTGAGTGAAGACAGTTTCAATGTTCATTCAGTGCTGGACATCTCATCGGAGATTGTTTCTAAGGTCACTAATAAGAGCTTATTATTACAGTTGTGTTTGATACCTTGATTGGGATTTGAACATACTGCCAGCTCGTTTCATGAGGCCTACTCAACAACTGTCAGTAAGTACTCAAGTTCAATTATTACCAATCTGTAGCATGATTTAGGAGTAAAATGACCTGAGAACTCATGATCCAGGAAATATTCTGTATTTCGAGTCCTCCATGCTGTTCAGCTACTTGCCTGTTATGCTACAAGGAAAAGAGTGAATAAGATTAGCAATGACATTTGGAACACAAAGTTTTCCAGAGCTCTGATGTAATTTTCTCACGCATTTCATCAACACTCTTTAGTCTCTTGCCCTGCCTCATTGGCAACATTCTGTCCCCACTATTTCATAAAGGACTTGGCAAAAGAAAACTGCCTTCTGAAATAATGGAGGCAACATGCCTTCATCAAAAAGTCTCCTGATGACTAAAAGACTGCACTGGATCTTGCCCGTATGACATTATTACTATGTGCATAACCTGGCACTTACAATTGCCTTATCTATAGAAACGAATGGCCTATTCGCCAAGCTTCAGATTGTCTATTTCCTTTAATTTAGGCATTGCCTTGCCTAACCTTTTAAGCAGCTCTCCAAAAGACCCAGTTAGGCACCAAGGATCCCCACATATATCATCCTGGAGAGGCTTTTGAGGCACTTAAGAGTGTTTAGGCACTCTGTTCAGAGAATGGGGAACATTAAGAGAATGGGGAGCATAAGGTTCCTTCCTGGTTGTCTAAGTAGCCATTTTTGGTCATTTACAGGGTATTTTTGACACTTACATGCCCAGAGGAATTCTATTCCTGGAACTTCTCTGGAACACTAGCAGTAAATCATTAAACATGTGATATTAATATTTTTTTATTTCTTTAAACAGATATTTCAGTCCACAAGATTAAGTTTATGATGTTCCATGAAAGCCATGTGTTGCTAAGAAGAAGAATTCAGATAATACGGGTAGGCCAAACACATCCTTGTTTTAATTCCAATGACATCAATGAATGGAATTACACCAAGGATTAATTTGGTTTAATATATGTGAATAATATGGAATGCACTCTGGTCCTATGTGACTTTACACATCCAGACTGATTTTGTGTCAGCCAAAGGTAAATGAGCCAAAACATACATTAGAGTTTTTAGTCCACCCTGAGAAATGTTTGCACATCACTTATTAATATTAATACCTAAGTCCACACTTGCACTTTCTTCTAAATGAGGGAGGGCAGGTTTGTGCTTGGTTGTTATTTTGTGAAGTGCACCCTTGTCCTTTGAATCTACTGAGGTCCCTTCCCACCCTAAAAATCTATGAAATCTAAGAGTGGGGCAGATCATTCCCGTACCAAGTTAGCTCTTAATGTCACCACTAAATGCAGGTGTTTCTTTTCTACAGGGACAGTTAATGGATTCGGCTTTCTCAGTGGAGACAAGGCACTATTGTTATTACTGAGATGGAGCTATATGAGGACAGCAGCAAGTGAGCAAGGTTATAATATTGCCATTGCTTAGCTAGATTATGGTAAAAACTATTTGTGCTATGTCTCCACTGGAATTGCATGAAGGTGCATTAGTTATTCTTCTGTAAGAAACAAGAAAACAAACATGCATCCTCTTTTGTTGTGAAGATATAGCTTTAGAAACAAGCCGCTTTCCTTCCTCACATCTTAATTTCAGTCTGGGAAGTGAAGCAAGATTTGACCACTAAACTGAGCATATTACATAAGTATATATGGCCTGATCTCTGATAAGTTTTATACCCATAGCACTCCACTGACTTTAAAACAATTATTCCTGTTTTACACTGATAAAAGGAAAGAGAAACAAGTTTTTCTTCTTTTTCCAAAGGACAAAGCAGTCCTAAACCCACACAGTTTGGCTGTGTTTTTTTCACACCAACAGGATTTGCAGCTTTTGGAAAGGCATAAGAAAGAATTGGATTACTGTTTTCATCTCAGCGGTGGTACTTTCACCATCGCTGGATATTTATGAGGCTTCCATAAAAAAGGCACCAATGCTCCACCACACAGACTGACAAAATTTCAGCAAAGCTACTTCTGTTTGTCTGTTGCTGCTTCTGTCATTAGCTGCATCAAATACCAGAAGCTAGCAATATTCTTGCATAACATGTTTCAGAACAGTTGAATTAACAGAAGAAAAGAATTATACTTTCTTCTTTTTTTAAGGAAATGCTGCGTTCCTGTGTGTAAGAACATCTAAGCTGAACATAGCTCCCATTGTTCCAGGCTGCTGAAGAGGCATTTAATAACAATGAAATGGAAGGGTAAGAATGAACCTGATTTTTCTGTGACATTTTAATTTTAAAATAATAGAGTATTTTTATGTTCTGAACCTTAATTGTCTTCTGTCCCTATTCCTTCCACTATGTTCTTCTTTAGCAGTCAGGCTCTTCAGTGGAAAAAGGGCTCCAGGTTAGCTTAATCCAAACACCTGCTACTGTAGTTAGTAGGAACTTTGTATCTCTAGGACTATTGGGTCAGGCTGTCTGGGCCCAGTTCTGCCCTTAGTTAAGTGGAAGAAATCATCACCAAGTCAGAACCATGTTGTACATTCTGCCTTTCTAACCCACATTGAGGCACCATGAACGGAGAAGGGGAAACAGCTTAAATATACCCCTAGGTGCAGTGCTAACTAGACCATTTGTTGAATATTTTTCATGTCTTTCTGGAGTCTGAATTTAAAAGCCCTCTCCCCTCCTTCCCCTAAGAGCCTATTGCAGCTAGACCTGTGAGAATTGAAGGTGCATAATAATATGGTTGAAGTTTTGCTTCCATGATATCATGCAGAGATCTGCCAAAATGTTTGGATTAAGCACTTTTTCTTTTCCAGGGCAGCACCTGCCCCTAAGTCTGCCATTTAAGCTCTCGTGGTAGAGGAGAAACATGATTACATGTAGTTTTCTTTCCCACAATGCCCAGAGGAGTCTCATTTTACCAGTGTGTAGACAGAACTCACAGGCAGCTACCAATCACAGGGCAGAAACTGTTGCCTTATGTCTATGCATGCTGACTAGCTGACTAAAAAGCCCTGTCCCATGGGAGGATGCTGGTTTCAGGTGGTAATGGTTCTAGAAAGAAAGAGACAAGGAGCTGACCGTATTCCTGGCATAGCTCCACATACTTAGAGTTACACCGGGGGCCTACTGAATATAAAATGCATTCTCCATAACTGCAGATAAAAAAGACAACTTGAGGAAAGTAAAAAGAAGCTCAATGAATGAATGAAATGCATTCCAGCATATGACATTTTGGACTATGAAAAACACAGTTGGAAAACCTCTAAGCTTCCCCCTCCCACTAGTTGGAGCTGCTTTGAATGGTCATCTGCTTGGTGGTATGTTTTTCTACCCCACCCTTCACATCCCCTCACACCCATGAAGTCATAATAGTGATTGTATCTCACAGGGGTTAAATAAATGTAATAAATGTAACAAGCACAGTGTAGCCCTTGTAACTGGCGAATAGTTCATACAAATTACCTGCTTCTGCCCCAATACAATATAATATTCAAAGGATTTAAGGTTTCTTTTTTTGTTTGTTTTTCCTCTTAGTTTTCAACACTATTTTTCAGCCTCTGAAACAGCATGTTGGCTTCATGATATTAAGGTAAATTGAGCTAGAGAGAAGAAAGGATGGGGGGTAGGAAGAGGTTTGTAAACAGGTCATTTTCAGCTTCATTCATTTGACACTCTGCAAATCCTTTAAGTTAATATGCTTTTAAACTCTTGC